TAAATCTTGCATTGTTGCTCTCTGGAAACGATGCTTTCATCACAGACACCCACAGAGGAATCACTTCAAAATAAAAGGTTGTTTTAACAAAACCTAAAGGTTCTTTTTCTGATCTTACATTTAACTTTACAATGAAATCTACCGTTAGTCAATCTGTGGGTGATGCTCATTTACTCCTGCTTTAAGAAAGCTCCACGCTTCTTATTATGAGAACGTTTCCTTCCTCGGAGCCTAAATGATGCTTCCTTAAACTCACAGATTTCACCCTAAACTTAAAAACCTTGTTCTATGTCAGGCTTTTAGGTAGGAATATCCACACCTGGAGGTAAAATGCAGCTAACTTTGTGTCTTTGTTCCTACCCTACTGTTGTCCTGATTATGGGAACTATGTGTCCTTGACTAGAGGTGGAAATTTCATCAGGAGGACATGAGATCATTTCTAGCTACAATATTTTTCATAGGTCAATTTAAAAAACAGAAAGTTTTGACTTAAATTTACTGCTAAAGGTTAAACTTGATTATTACATTTACAACAAGTTGAACAATGACTGAAGAACAGTCTATAAAAACTGAAACACCATCTGTAAACCACCAGAGGAGAAGGCGGAGCCAGGACTGCTTGGATTTCCATCAACTCTGTCAAGAATCCAGCTGACACTGAAACCAATCTGAATCCTGATGGTCATAGAAACTAATCTGAAATCTGATGGTCATAGAAACCGGTCTGAATCCTGATGGTCATAGAAACTAATCTGAAACCTGATGGTCATAGAAACCAGTCTGAAACCTGATGGTCATAGAAACCAGTCTGAAACCTGATGGTTATAGAAACCGATCTGAAACCTGATGGTCATAGAAACCAGTCTGAAACCTGATGGTCATAGAAACCGATCTGAAACCTGATGGTCATAGAAACCGGTCTGAATCCTGATGGTCATAGAAACCAGTCTGAAACCTGATGGTTATAGAAACCGATCTGAAACCTGATGGTCATAGAAACCAGTCTGAAACCTGATGGTTATAGAAACCGATCTGAAACCTGATGGTTATAGAAACCGATCTGAAACCTGATGGTCATAGAAACCGATCTGAAACCTGATGGTTATAGAAACCGATCTGAAACCTGATGGTCATAGAAACCGGTCTGAATCCTGATGGTCATAGAAACCAGTCTGAAACCTGATGGTTATAGAAACCGATCTGAAACCTGATGGTCATAGAAACCAGTCTGAAACCTGATGGTCATAGAAACCGGTCTGAATCCTGATGGTCATAGAAACCAGTCTGAAACCTGATGGTTATAGAAACCGATCTGAAACCTGATGGTCATAGAAACCAGTCTGAAACCTGATGGTCATAGAAACCAGTCTGAAACCTGATGGTTATAGAAACCGATCTGAAACCTGATGGTCATAGAAACCAGTCTGAAACCTGATGGTCATAGAAACCGATCTGAAACCTGATGGTCATAGAAACCGGTCTGAATCCTGATGGTCATAGAAACTAGTCTAAAACCTGATGGTCATAGAAACTAATCTGAAACCTGATGGTCATAGAAACCAGTCTGAAACCTGATGGTCATAGAAACCGATCTGAAACCTGATGGTCATAGAAACTAGTCTAAAACCTGATGGTCATAGAAACTGATCTGAAACCTAATGGTCATAGAAACCAATCTGAAACCTGATGGTCATAGAAACTAATCTGAAACCTGATGGTCATAGAAACCAATCTGAAACCTGATGGTCATAGAAACTAATCTGAAACCTGATGGTCATAGAAACCGATCTGAAACCTGATGGTCATAGAAACTAATCTGAAACCTGATGGTCATAGAAACCAATCTGAAACCTGATGGTCATAGAAACTAATCTGAAACCTGATGGTCATAGAAACCAATCTGAAACCTGATGGTCATAGAAACTAATCTGAAACCTGATGGTCATAGAAACCAATCTGAAACCTGATGGTCATAGAAACTAATCTGAAACCTGATGGTCATAGAAACCAGTCTAAAACCTGATGGTCATAGAAACTGATCTGAAACCTAATGGTCATAGAAACCAATCTGAAACCTGATGGTCATAGAAACTAATCTGAAACCTGATGGTCATAGAAACCAATCTGAAACCTGATGGTCATAGAAACTAATCTGAAACCTGATGGTCATAGAAACCAATCTGAAACCTGATGGTCATAGAAACTAATCTGAAACCTGATGGTCATAGAAACCAGTCTAAAACCTGATGGTCATAGAAACTGATCTGAAACCTAATGGTCATAGAAACCAGTCTGAAACCTGATGGTCATAGAAACCAGTCTGAAACCTGATGGTCATAGAAACCGGTCTGAATCCTGATGGTCATAGAAACTAGTCTAAAACCTGATGGTCATAGAAACTAATCTGAAACCTGATGGTCATAGAAACCAGTCTGAAACCTGATGGTCATAGAAACCGATCTGAAACCTGATGGTCATAGAAACCAGTCTGAAACCTGATGGTCATAGAAACTAGTCTAAAACCTGATGGTCATAGAAACTAATCTGAAACCTGATGGTCATAGAAACTAATCTGAAACCTGATGGTCATAGAAACTAGTCTAAAACCTGATGGTCATAGAAACTAATCTGAAACCTGATGGTCATAGAAACTAGTCTAAAACCTGATGGTCATAGAAACTAATCTGAAACCTGATGGTCATAGAAACTAATCTGAAACCTGATGGTCATAGAAACCAGTCTGAAACCTGATGGTCATAGAAACCAGTCTGAAACCTGATGGTTATAGAAACCGATCTGAAACCTGATGGTCATAGAAACCAGTCTGAAACCTGATGGTCATAGAAACCGATCTGAAACCTGATGGTCATAGAAACCGGTCTGAATCCTGATGGTCATAGAAACTAGTCTAAAACCTGATGGTCATAGAAACTAATCTGAAACCTGATGGTCATAGAAACCAGTCTGAAACCTGATGGTCATAGAAACCGATCTGAAACCTGATGGTCATAGAAACCGATCTGAAACCTGATGGTCATAGAAACCAGTCTGAAACCTGATGGTCATAGAAACTAGTCTAAAACCTGATGGTCATAGAAACTAATCTGAAACCTGATGGTCATAGAAACCAATCTGAAACCTGATGGTCATAGAAACTAATCTGAAACCTGATGGTCATAGAAACTAGTCTAAAACCTGATGGTCATAGAAACTGATCTGAAACCTAATGGTCATAGAAACCAATCTGAAACCTGATGGTCATAGAAACTAATCTGAAACCTGATGGTCATAGAAACCAATCTGAAACCTGATGGTCATAGAAACTAATCTGAAACCTGATGGTCATAGAAACCGATCTGAAACCTGATGGTCATAGAAACTAATCTGAAACCTGATGGTCATAGAAACCAATCTGAAACCTGATGGTCATAGAAACTAATCTGAAACCTGATGGTCATAGAAACCAATCTGAAACCTGATGGTCATAGAAACTAATCTGAAACCTGATGGTCATAGAAACCAGTCTAAAACCTGATGGTCATAGAAACTGATCTGAAACCTAATGGTCATAGAAACCAATCTGAAACCTGATGGTCATAGAAACTAATCTGAAACCTGATGGTCATAGAAACCAATCTGAAACCTGATGGTCATAGAAACTAATCTGAAACCTGATGGTCATAGAAACCAATCTGAAACCTGATGGTCATAGAAACTAATCTGAAACCTGATGGTCATAGAAACTAATCTGAAACCTGATGGTCATAGAAACCAGTCTAAAACCTGATGGTCATAGAAACTGATCTGAAACCTAATGGTCATAGAAACCAGTCTGAAACCTGATGGTCATAGAAACCAGTCTGAAACCTGATGGTCATAGAAACCGGTCTGAATCCTGATGGTCATAGAAACTAGTCTAAAACCTGATGGTCATAGAAACCGATCTGAAACCTGATGGTCATAGAAACCAGTCTGAAACCTGATGGTCATAGAAACCGATCTGAAACCTGATGGTCATAGAAACCGATCTGAAACCTGATGGTCATAGAAACCAGTCTGAAACCTGATGGTCATAGAAACTAGTCTAAAACCTGATGGTCATAGAAACTAATCTGAAACCTGATGGTCATAGAAACTAATCTGAAACCTGATGGTCATAGAAACTAGTCTAAAACCTGATGGTCATAGAAACTAATCTGAAACCTGATGGTCATAGAAACTAGTCTAAAACCTGATGGTCATAGAAACTAATCTGAAACCTGATGGTCATAGAAACCAGTCTAAAACCTGATGGTCATAGAAACTGATCTGAAACCTAATGGTCATAGAAACCAGTCTGAAACCTGATGGTCATAGAAACTAGTCTAAAACCTGATGGTCATAGAAACTGATCTGAAACCTAATGGTCATAGAAACTAGTCTAAAACCTGATGGTCATAGAAACTAATCTGAAACCTGATGGTCATAGAAACTAGTCTAAAACCTGATGGTCATAGAAACTAATCTGAAACCTGATGGTCATAGAAACCAATCTGAAACCTGATGGTCATAGAAACTAATCTGAAACCTGATGGTCATAGAAACCAATCTGAAACCTGATGGTCATAGAAACTAATCTGAAACCTGATGGTCATAGAAACCAATCTGAAACCTGATGGTCATAGAAACTAATCTGAAACCTGATGGTCATAGAAACCAGTCTGAAACCTGATGGTCATAGAAACTGATCTGAAACCTGATGGTCATATTTTCATGTATCTCAGTACATTTACTAAATGTAAGCTGATTAGGTTTTCTGAGGTTTTCTTTTCTGGGTGGATTATGGCTCAAAGGTTGTTTTAGTTTAAGCTTTATTATTTTCTGGGGTGTAAAATGTGAAGTGTTTTCTCTGTTTCTGTTATAAAGTGAGCTGGTGTTTAAAACCTGATGGAAGGAGGTGTTGCTGAAAGCTGATGCTGGTCATATTCATGTTTTCCTGACGGGGTGTTTCTGTGTCGTAGGTCTACGCTCCGTCTGCCAGCACAGCCGACTACAACAGGGACTCGCCCGGCTATCCCTCCTCCAAACCTCCCAGCGCGGGCTTTCCCAGCTCCTTCTTCATGCCAGGTAAGAGCTGGATCCACCCACCAGGTGGGCTGATATACCTGAAGCTGGGAACTGTTCTGGAGATGAGAAATACCTTTATATTTCCCCCTTTCATGCCTCTGCCGTGTTTCAACTGAAAATAGAATTCTATTCAGTTTATTTCTATAGCTCCAATTCACATCATGTCATCTCAGGTCACTTTCCAGTTCACCAGATCATCCAGTCAGATTGATTCAAAGTTTTCTATCTAAGGAAAACCAGCTGATTGCATCGACTCATTGACTCTTCAGCAATCCCTCACACTAAGCATGCTTGTAGCGACAGTGGAGAGGAAAAACTCCCTTTGAACAGGAAGAAACCTCCAGCAGAACCAGGCTCAGTGTGAGCGGCCATCTGCTGAGGCCATCTACCATCACACACCATGAAACTGCTCTAGATTCACTCCTTTCTATTTGAACTTTAAATATTGCATTTTTCTTTTTCTGCTCGTAAATCTTTAGTTACCAGGTTCAAACTACTACAACTGGTGACCCTGAAGACAACTAGGAAGGTTAACCTTAACCTTTTTTGAAGTCAGCAAGGCAGCTGACCGGGTTAAGCTAGCGGCTATTAGCTAGTCAGCTAAACCAAAAATGGCTAATTAATCTTTGCTTATAGGAGCCTACATTTTGTCCAACCGTTCAACACTAAACTAAAGAAGTCATAGTTTAATATTTTACTGTCAACTGACCAGACTAATGGTTACTGAGTTCACATTTTGTAATACTAGTTTGAGTTTAGCTATCTATTAGCATGCTATCTAGCTACCAATTAGCCCAGTAGGAAGGTTATCTCTGACCTCTAACCTGCTGGAAGTTAGAAATAACAACAAAAGCCAATATAATTATTTATGACTGTTGTTTATTAGGCTAACAGAGTAATTAGCACTTCCACCAGCTTTAGCTTAGTTGGCTAAGTTAGCTACCTAAAATCTGTGCTAGGTAGGCTAGCACCTGCTTCTTTGCCTTGTAGTATTTAGGGGTTGAGGCAAAGCGAGTGCAGGTGACCAGAGATGCTATAGATAACTGTAAAATAAGCTAATTTCACCACTAGCTTCCCTTCTGGTTCTGATGAATGTCAGCGTTCAGGTTAATCGGGTTTATAACGTTTATTGTTGTTCTGGGTAGAAATCCAGAAATCCTAAAGTCAGAACAGAGTCAATCTGTGAACGTAGACGTTTGTCATCAACCATAAATCCTTATTTTAGCATCATTTAGGAGAATCACCTGGTAAACATGAAATTACAGCTGATTAAATCTTCAGGTGGCTTCATTTCTAGAGGAGTGGCGGCCTAGTGGTCAGGGCACAGAGGTTCTGAGCCCCACTACCACTGACTGCCTCTCTGGGTCCCTGAGCCAGACCCTTAACCCCACACTGCACCCCGGGCGCCACCCAATGGCAGCCCACTGCTCCCCCAGGGGAGGGGTTAAATGCAGAAAGAGAATTTCTCCAATGTGAGATGAATAAAGTTCAGTTATTATTATTATTAGTCAAAGTTATTGTGGTCGTTCAGCTGGATGATGTCACCTACAGGTTTTATAAACCGCCATGTCTTCCTCTCTGTGCCTCCAGCAGATGGTCACCACAGCGGAGACCCCTGGAGCAGCAGCGGCAGCACTATGAGCCAGCAGGGTTACCACAGCAGCATGCTGGGGGGCGGGAACTCAGCACACGGCCCCGCCCAAGGCTCCTCCTACTGTGGGATCCATCCTCATGACAGACTGGTGAGCTGGGGGGGTCACTACTGTGGTTCAGGAGAAAAGAACCAGGCTCTGCAGCGAGGCTAACCTTTTCCTTTCTGCAGAGCTACCCTTCACACTCATCAGCAGACCTCAGTTCCAGCCTCCCCCCCATGTCCAGCTTCCATAGAGGGGGGGGCGGCGGAGGCGGAGCCAATCACTACAGCACTGCCTCCTGTACCGCCGCGACCAACGGCACAGACAGCGTCATGGGTAAGAAATGGACGGGATCGTCCCCGGCAACCTGCCTAGCAACAGATGTGGATTTGTAGAGATATAAGCAAGTGATGGAGCTCCATCCATCACCTCTGACCGCATTAAAAGTTAAACTACTATCATTAATAATTATGGATTTTATTTAAGGCAACGTATCAGAGACTGAATATAAAGGCATAGAAAACCTACGAGACTTTAATGGTTAAAAACATCTAGGGCTGAAAACATTTGGAGAAATTCTATTCAGTGTATTTCTATAGCTCCAATTCACATCATGTCATCTCAGGTCACTTTCCAGTTCACCAGATCATCCAGTCAGATTGATTCAAAGTTTTCTATCTAAGGAAAACCAGCTGATTGCATCGACTCATTGACTCTTCAGCAATCCCTCACACTAAGCATGCTTGTAGCGACAGTGGAGAGGAAAAACTCCCTTTGAACAGGAAGAACCAGGCTCAGTGTGAGCGGCCATCTGCTGAGGCCCACTGGGGTTCAAGGAGACAGAAGCAGACATAGAAAAAGAAGCGTAGATACAAAAGGCAACTGTCAACCAGCTCCACAGGCGGCCCCGTCCAGGAAACACACAGCCAGGCAGACGAGCTCCGAGCCAGCTCCCATGTCAGAGGATGAAGAGAACACATAGAGATAGAATGAAGCAGAATGATGAAATGGGGGTCCCTATGTCCTCCAGCAGTCTAAGCCTATAGCAGCAGAACTATAGAGATAGATCAGGATAACCTGAGCCACTCTAACTATAAGCTTTATCAAAAAGGAAAGTTTTAAGCCTAGCCTTAAAAGTAGACAGGGTGTCTGCCTCACGGACTAAAACTGGTAGTTGGTTCCACAGGAGAGGAGCCTGATAACTAAAAGATCTGCCTCCCATTCTACTTTTAGAAATTCTAGGAACCACTAGTAAACCTGCAGATTGAGAGCGAAGTGCTCTGTTAGGAACATAAGGAACAATCAGATCTCTGATATCAGATGGAGCTTGGCCATTTAAGGCTTTATATGTGAGAAGGAGGATTTTAAATTCTATTCTATTTAAATTCATTTTTCACATCAGCTGAATAGTCAGAAAGGCACCAAAAGGAGGAACAGGTTGATATATGCATATTTGACAGGATTATTGCACAAGTTATTGTTATTTTAGCTTCATTTGGTTCAAACTCTGGAAGTTAATCTCTTATTGAGCAGTTTTTGCTGCCTGATTTAAATTAAACTGAAAAAAATCTAGACATAAGTAAAATTTAGCCTTAATTTAAGCAGGTAAATAAAACGATCTGCCAATAGAGTGAGTATTTTTACTCTTAAAATAAGGTAATTGGATTCTATGTACTTGAAATAAGAGAATTGTTCTTTTTATTTTTAAACGTGAATTGTTCTTTTGGCAAAGTGTTTCACTTACCTCCTCAGTTCAAGAAATAATGACTAAATTAGATTTAATTTTTTGCAGTGTGATTATTCAACATAATCCCTGCCAGATTAATGGATTATTAAAATAGTCATCAGCTGCAGCTCAGCTTCCCCACCTTCTTCCAGTGGCTGCAAACTGAGAGCGGCTGCAGAGAAAACTTTGCTTCCTGGTTGGACATCCAGAGCGAGGCTGATTTCCTCTGCTAATCAACATGTTTTCGCAGCTCCGATCGGACCAGCTGAATAATTAAACATGTAGTCGACAACATCCTTATTTACCAGAAGGCTTCCCGCCCCGCGCTCCCCTGAGTGTTTGTGTCTCTGTGTGTCACAGCTAACCGAGCGCAGAGCGGCGCCGCCAGCAGCTCCCAAACAGGAGACGCCTTAGGGAAAGCACTCGCCTCGGTGAGTAGCGCGCTCACGCTTTCTGCAGCGGCAGCTCCGTTCTGCTGCGTCCTGGAAGGAATAATCTGGGTATAATCTGGGTCTTTGCTCCATGTTCTCCGCTCAGATCTACTCTCCAGATCACACCAACAACAGCTTCTCCTCCAACCCCTCCACCCCCGTGGGATCACCGCCCTCGCTCACAGGTAAACGCTCACATTTACACCAACCAACCAGAGGGGAGTCAGAACCTGGATGGACCTGAGGACAGTCTGCCTGCATGTCCAGGTTCTCAGTCATTCAGAAACCACGAGTCAGGCTGTGCTCTCGGCCAACTGGACGTTAGAATAATGGAGCCAGGCGCCAGCTGGCTGCAATTTAAACTGGTTTTCTGGGAGAATTTCTGTCATTAAATACCTTAGAAATAAATGTTTTTAAATGATTTATAGACGCAGCATAGATGGGCTTCAAAGATGTTGGATTTATCCCAGTTTATCCGGTCCACTCCTCCAACATGTCTGACCCATGTTCAGAGTCAGAATCAAGGTTATTGCCGAATAAGTTTGCACTTACAAGGATTTTGACTTGGTGTTGATGGTGCAGACTGCTTATAAATAAATATATATATATATATATATACAGGATACAGGACCTATAGCTATATAAAATATAAAACATACTATATACTATATGCTGGTGAAGGTTCTCAGAGTCATTCCAAAAACGTTTCTCTTCCCATCCAGGGACGGAAGGTTTGGCTTCTTTTGTTAGCCTGTTATACAGAAAGCTGTCTATGTCTCTGAAAGGGGGGTCGTAAGGGGGGGTTGTTGGCTTGGCTGAAGATGGAGTAGATTCCTTCCCACCATCATCGCCACCCTCGCCCCTTACAGGCGAACAAAACGCCTCTCCTATTCCATAAGCGCTGGTCCGTTTCCTGATGTCTCTGGCCCGGTCCAGATGAAGCTGTGTTTCAGGCGGCGGCCATGAAGGATGGGTTAGAGCGGCCGCCACGAAGGACGGGTTAGAGCGGCCGCCACGAAGGACGGGTTAGAGCGGCCGCCACGAAGGACGGGTTAGAGCGGCCGCCACGAAGGACGGGTTAGAGCGGCCGCCACGAAGGATGGGTTAGAGCGGCCGCCACGAAGGACGGGTTAGAGCGGCCGCCACGAAGGATGGGTTAGAGCGGCCGCCACGAAGGACGGGTTAGAGCGGCCGCCATGAAGGATGGGTTAGAGCGGCCGCCACGAAGGACGGGTTAGAGCGGCCGCCACGAAGGACGGGTTAGAGCGGCCGCCACGAAGGATGGGTTAGAGCGGCCGCCACGAAGGACGGGTTAGAGCGGCCGCCATGAAGGATGGGTTAGAGCGGCCGCCACGAAGGACGGGTTAGAGCGGCCGCCACGAAGGACGGGTTAGAGCGGCCGCCACGAAGGATGGGTTAGAGCGGCCGCCACGAAGGATGGGTTAGAGCGGCCGCCACGAAGGATGGGTTAGAGCGGCCGCCACGAAGGACGGGTTAGAGCGGCCGCCATGAAGGACGGGTTAGAGCGGCCGCCACGAAGGACGGGTTAGAGCGGCCGCCACGAAGGATGGGTTAGAGCGGCCGCAACGAAGGACGGGTTAGAGCGGCCGCCACGAAGGACGGGTTAGAGCGGCCGCCACGAAGGACGGGTTAGAGCGGCCGCCACGAAGGACGGGTTAGAGCGGCCGCCAGGAAGGATGGGTTAGAGCGGCCGCCACGAAGGACGGGTTAGAGCGGCCGCCAGGAAGGATGGGTTAGAGCGGCCGCCACGAAGGACGGGTTAGAGCGGCCGCCACGAAGGACGGGTTAGAGCGGCCGCCACGAAGGACGGGTTAGAGCGGCCGCCACGAAGGACGGGTTAGAGCGGCCGCCACGAAGGACGGGTTAGAGCGGCCGCCACGAAGGACGGGTTAGAGCGGCCGCCACGAAGGACGGGTTAGAGCGGCCGCCACGAAGGACGGGTTAGAGCGGCCGCCACGAAGGACGGGTTAGAGCGGCCGCCACGAAGGACGGGTTAGAGCGGCCGCCACGAAGGACGGGTTAGAGCGGCCGCCACGAAGGACGGGTTAGAGCGGCCGCCACGAAGGACGGGTTAGAGCGGCCGCCACGAAGGACGGGTTAGAGCGGCCGCCACGAAGGACGGGTTAGAGCGGCCGCCACGAAGGACGGGTTAGAGGGGCCGCCACGAAGGACGGGTTAGAGCGGCCGCCACGAAGGACGGGTTAGAGCGGCCGCCAGGAAGGATGGGTTAGAGCGGCCTCCACGAAGGATGGGTTAGAGCGGCCGCCAGGAAGGATGGGTTAGAGCGGCCGCCACGAAGGACGGGTTAGAGCGGCCGCCACGAAGGACGGGTTAGAGCGGCCGCCAGGAAGGATGGGTTAGAGCGGCCGCCACGAAGGACGGGTTAGAGCGGCCGCCACGAAGGACGGGTTAGAGCGGCCTCCACGAAGGATGGGTTAGAGCGGCCGCCAGGAAGGATGGGTTAGAGCGGCCGCCACGAAGGACGGGTTAGAGCGGCCGCCACGAAGGACGGGTTAGAGCGGCCTCCACGAAGGATGGGTTAGAGCGGCCGCCACGAAGGACGGGTTAGAGCGGCCGCCACGAAGGACGGGTTAGAGCAACCGCCACGAAGGACGGGTTAGAGCGGCCGCCACGAAGGACGGGTTAGAGCGGCCTCCACGAAGGATGGGTTAGAGCGGCCGCCAGGAAGGATGGGTTAGAGCGGCCGCCACGAAGGACGGGTTAGAGCGGCCGCCAGGAAGGACGGGTTAGAGCGGCCGCCACGAAGGACGGGTTAGAGCGGCCGCCACGAAGGATGGGTTAGAGCGGCCGCCACGAAGGACGGGTTAGAGCGGCCGCCACGAAGGATGGGTTAGAGCGGCCGCCACGAAGGACGGGTTAGAGCGGCCGCCACGAAGGACGGGTTAGAGCGGCCGCCACGAAGGACGGGTTAGAGCGGCCGCCACGAAGGACGGGTTAGAGCGGCCGCCACGAAGGACGGGTTAGAGCAACCGCCACGAAGGACGGGTTAGAGCGGCCGCCACGAAGGACGGGTTAGAGCGGCCGCCATGAAGGATGGGTTAGAGCGGCCGCCACGAAGGATGGGTTAGAGCGGCCGCCACGAAGGACGGGTTAGAGCGGCCGCCACGAAGGACGGGTTAGAGCGGCCGCCACGAAGGATGGGTTAGAGCGGCCGCCACGAAGGATGGGTTAGAGCGGCCGCCACGAAGGATGGGTTAGAGCGGCCGCCACGAAGGACGGGTTAGAGCGGCCGCCATGAAGGACGGGTTAGAGCGGCCGCCACGAAGGACGGGTTAGAGCGGCCGCCACGAAGGATGGGTTAGAGCGGCCGCAACGAAGGACGGGTTAGAGCGGCCGCCACGAAGGACGGGTTAGAGCGGCCGCCACGAAGGACGGGTTAGAGCGGCCGCCACGAAGGACGGGTTAGAGCGGCCGCCACGAAGGACGGGTTAGAGCGGCCGCCACGAAGGATGGGTTAGAGCGGCCGCCACGAAGGATGGGTTAGAGCGGCCGCCACGAAGGACGGGTTAGAGCGGCCGCCACGAAGGACGGGTTAGAGCGGCCGCCACGAAGGACGGGTTAGAGCGGCCGCCACGAAGGACGGGTTAGAGCGGCCGCCACGAAGGACGGGTTAGAGCGGCCGCCACGAAGGACGGGTTAGAGCGGCCGCCACGAAGGACGGGTTAGAGCGGCCGCCACGAAGGACGGGTTAGAGCGGCCGCCACGAAGGACGGGTTAGAGCGGCCGCCACGAAGGACGGGTTAGAGCGGCCGCCACGAAGGACGGGTTAGAGGGGCCGCCACGAAGGACGGGTTAGAGCGGCCGCCACGAAGGACGGGTTAGAGCGGCCGCCAGGAAGGATGGGTTAGAGCGGCCTCCACGAAGGATGGGTTAGAGCGGCCGCCAGGAAGGATGGGTTAGAGCGGCCGCCACGAAGGACGGGTTAGAGCGGCCGCCACGAAGGACGGGTTAGAGCGGCCGCCAGGAAGGATGGGTTAGAGCGGCCGCCACGAAGGACGGGTTAGAGCGGCCGCCACGAAGGACGGGTTAGAGCGGCCTCCACGAAGGATGGGTTAGAGCGGCCGCCAGGAAGGATGGGTTAGAGCGGCCGCCACGAAGGACGGGTTAGAGCGGCCGCCACGAAGGACGGGTTAGAGCGGCCTCCACGAAGGATGGGTTAGAGCGGCCGCCAGGAAGGATGGGTTAGAGCGGCCGCCACGAAGGACGGGTTAGAGCGGCCGCCACGAAGGATGGGTTAGAGCGGCCTCCACGAAGGATGGGTTAGAGCGGCCGCCACGAAGGACGGGTTAGAGCGGCCGCCAGGAAGGATGGGTTAGAGCGGCCGCCACGAAGGATGGGTTGGAGCGGCCGCCACGAAGGATGGGTTAGAGCGGCCGCCACGAAGGACGGGTTAGAGCGGCCGCCACGAAGGACGGGTTAGAGCGGCCGCCACGAAGGACGGGTTAGAGCGGCCGCCAGGAAGGATGGGTTAGAGCGGCCGCCACGAAGGACGGGTTAGAGCGGCCGCCACGAAGGATGGGTTAGAGCGGCCGCCACGAAGGACGGGTTAGAGCGGCCGCCACGAAGGACGGGTTAGAGCGGCCGCCATGAAGGATGGGTTAGAGCGGCCGCCACGAAGGACGGGTTAGAGCGGCCGCCACGAAGGATGGGTTAGAGCGGCCGCCACGAAGGACGGGTTAGAGCGGCCGCCAGGAAGGATGGGTTAGAGCGGCCGCCACGAAGGACGGGTTAGAGCGGCCGCCACGAAGGACGGGTTAGAGCGGCCGCCACGAAGGACGGGTTAGAGCGGCCGCCACGAAGGACGGGTTAGAGCGGCCGCCACGAAGGACGGGTTAGAGCGGCCGCCACGAAGGACGGGTTAGAGCGGCCGCCACGAAGGACGGGTTAGAGCGGCCGCCACGAAGGACGGGTTAGAGCGGCCTCCACGAAGGATGGGTTAGAGCGGCCGCCAGGAAGGATGGGTTAGAGCGGCCGCCACGAAGGACGGGTTAGAGCGGCCGCCAGGAAGGACGGGTTAGAGCGGCCGCCACGAAGGACGGGTTAGAGCGGCCGCCACGAAGGATGGGTTAGAGCGGCCGCCACGAAGGACGGGTTAGAGCGGCCGCCACGAAGGATGGGTTAGAGCGGCCGCCACGAAGGACGGGTTAGAGCGGCCGCCACGAAGGACGGGTTAGAGCGGCCGCCACGAAGGACGGGTTAGAGCGGCCGCCACGAAGGACGGGTTAGAGCGGCCGCCACGAAGGACGGGTTAGAGCAACCGCCACGAAGGACGGGTTAGAGCGGCCGCCACGAAGGACGGGTTAGAGCGGCCGCCATGAAGGATGGGTTAGAGCGGCCGCCACGAAGGACGGGTTAGAGCGGCCGCCATGAAGGATGGGTTAGAGCGGCCGCCACGAAGGACGGGTTAGAGCGGCCGCCACGAAGGGGCCGCCATGAAGGATGGGTTAGAGCGGCCGCCATGAAGGATGGGTTAGAGCGGCCGCCACGAAGGACGGGTTAGAGCGGCCGCCACGAAGGACGGGTTAGAGCGGCCGCCACGAAGGACGGGTTAAAGCGGCCGCCACGAAGGACGGGTTAGAGCGGCCGCCACGAAGGACGGGTTAGAGCGGCCGCCACGAAGGATGGGTTAGAGCGGCCGCCACGAAGGACGGGTTAGAGCGGCCGCCACGAAGGACGGGTTAGAGCGGCCGCCACGAAGGACGGGTTAGAGCGGCCGCCATGAAGGATGGGTTAGAGCGGCCGCCACGAAGGACGGGTTAGAGCGGCCGCCATGAAGGATGGGTTAGAGCGGCCGCCACGAAGGACGGGTTAGAGCGGCCGCCACGAAGGACGGGTTAGAGCGTGAAATCAGCAACATGGATGGACTTTGCTTCCAGGTTTGAAGATGTTTCTCTTCCATCCAGGAAGATTTTTCAATTCAAAATGTCAGAAATAGCGTTTAGTTCCAGGTTTTATCCAGCAGCCCAACAAAGCCTGGTTTTAGTTTAGAAAACATGCAAATAGAAACGGATGAACGGGTCCCCCCCTTTGGAATGGGGGTCGTTTGGCTTCTCTGTTAGCCTGCAATGCCCCATACCTGTCTATGTCTCTGAAAGGGGGGTCGTTTGGCTTCTTAAATTGAAATGAAGATGGTTCCTGTAATTCAGAGTGGAACAAAGACGACTCTAGAACTCAGGCAGAACTTTAGAATCACACAGCATCTGAGGAGAACAGCTGGAACGTGAGAACCTTAAAACAGCGACAAAATATCGGACATACACACGCTTTGATCTGAGCTTTTTTAAAGTTGCTGCAGAATCGGTCCGTTTAGAGAACCAGAGAAAAAGCAAAACGTTAGAGATTGAACGAACAGATTCTGCAGAGTGGGAGAATAGAGATAGAATGAAGCAGAATGATGAAAAAGGGGTCCCTATGTCCTCCAGCAGTCTAAGCCTATAGCAGCAGAACTATAGAGATAGATCAGGATAACCTGAGCCACTCTAACTAGAGATCTCAGCATAGAAATGTGAATGCCTCTTAGACCTGACCCTAACCTAACCCTAGCTTAGCCAGGATATAGCTTTGAAGGTGTTTGCTGTGCGATGAGGCGTCATCAGGATCCAGTGGTCGGCACCTCCTGCCTGGAACTAGACTCACTCTCAGAATCCTTCCTCCTGTTCATTTCTTAAACTTTGACCTTTCACCTGTAAAATGTGTTAAATTATCGCCTGTTAGTTTGGGGATACTTCTGCCTGGTTGATGTTTTTAGATTGTTTTGCTCTGATAAATGGAAGTCCTTCCTGTGTCCGCTCCAGACGCCCCCCCTCCACCTTCCCTCCTCCCTCCCCTCTCCAGATGCCATAAACCAGAGCCGCCCCTTAAAGTGAAAAATTACTTTTCTAATAATAATTGTGTCAAATTTGTCTGTAATTGTCGGCGCTGCACACGCCGTTTGCTGTTCCTCCGCCTCGCCGTGTGACTGATAGCTTTAATTACGAGCACCACTTCCACAAAACGTTCACAAACCTGCCGGCTCTGCAAACACCAGCCCTCTCCCCTCTTCCTCCTCCTCGTCATCATCATCATTATAGCTGACTAGGATATTGCCTGTGAAACCATAATTGGTGTTTATCATTGTGTCAGACTTACTCCACTTTTAACAAATTAGAAATGAAGCCTATTAGAGCAAAATACATGCAAATTGATAACCGAGGCGAACGCCGCGAGGGCGTTTTACGCCGTCGGACCCGGAATAATTTAGCCGCCGTTTAATACATATATTTGTATTTGCACATGAATGTACCCAGGTGATTATACATTAATTAGCATATGTAAATGAGAGTGTAATATGAATAAAGGAGAGGAGAGAAAAACCAGGACCAAGGAGAGAAACACGAGCTAACGAGAAGGAATCAGGGATACAGGGTGGAGCTGACAGGTCCGTCAGGTCCTGGTCCGTCAGGTCCTAATCCTTCAGGTCCTGGTCCGTCAGGTCCTGGCCCGTCAGGTCCTGGTCCGTCAGGTCCTAATCCTTCAGGTCCTGGTCCGTCAGGTCCTGGTCCGTCAGGTCCTGGCCCGTCAGGTCCTGGTCCGTCAGGTCCTAATCCTTCAGGTCCTGGTCCGTCAGGTCCTGGCCCGTCAGGTCCTGGTCCGTCAGGTCCTAATCCTTCAGGTCCTGGTCCGTCAGGTCCTGGTCCGTCAGGTCCTGGCCCGTCAGGTCCTGGTCCGTCAGGTCCTAATCCTTCAGGTCCTGGTCCGTCAGGTCCTGGTCCGTCAGGTCCTGGTCCGTCAGGTCCTGGCCCGTCAGGTCCTGGTCCGTCAGGTCCTAATCCTTCAGGTCCTGGTCCGACAGGTCCTGGTCCGTCAGGTCCTGGCCCGTCAGGTCCTGGTCCGTCAGGTCCTGGTCCGTCAGGTCCTGGCCCGTCAGGTCCTGGTCCGTCAGGTCCTAATCCTTCAGGTCCTGGTCCGTCAGGTCCTGGTCCGTCAGGTCCTGGCCCGTCAGGTCCTGGTCCGTCAGGTCCTGGTCCGTCAGGTCCTGGCCCGTCAGGTCCTGGTCCGTCAGGTCCTAATCCTTCAGGTCCTGGTCCGTCAGGTCCTGGCCCGTCAGGTCCTGGTCCGTCAGGTCCTAATCCTTCAGGTCCTGGTCCGTCAGGTCCTGGCCCGTCAGGTCCTGGTCCGTCAGGTCCTAATCCTTCAGGTCCTGGTCCGTCAGGTCCTGGTCCGTCAGGTCCTGGTCCGTCAGGTCCTGGCCCGTCAGGTCCTGGTCCGTCAGGTCCTAATCCTTCAGGTCCTGGTCCGACAGGTCCTGGTCCGTCAGGTCCTGGCCCGTCAGGTCCTGGTCAGTCAGGTCCTGGTCCGTCAGGTCCTGGCCCGTCAGGTCCTGGTCCGTCAGGTCCTAATCCTTCAGGTCCTGGTCCGTCAGGTCCTGGTCCGTCAGGTCCTGGCCCGTCAGGTCCTGGTCCGTCAGGTCCTGGTCCGTCAGGTCCTGGCCCGTCAGGTCCTGGTCCGTCAGGTCCTAATCCTTCAGGTCCTGGTCCGTCAGGTCCTGGTCCGTCAGGTCCTGGTCCGTCAGGTCCTGGCCCGTCAGGTCCTGGTCCGTCAGGTCCTAATCCTTCAGGTCCTGGTCCGTCAGGTCCTGGCCCGTCAGGTCCTGGTCCGTCAGGTCCTGGTCCGTCAGGTCCTGGCCCGTCAGGTCCTGGTCCGTCAGGTCCTAATCCTTCAGGTCCTGGTCCGTCAGGTCCTAATCCTTCAGGTCCTGGTCCGTCAGGTCCTGGCCCGTCAGGTCCTGGTCCGTCAGGTCCTAATCCTTCAGGTCCTGGTCCGTCAGGTCCTGGTCCGTCAGGTCCTGGCCCGTCAGGTCCTGGTCCGTCAGGTCCTAATCCTTCAGGTCCTGGTCCGTCAGGTCCTAATCCTTCAGGTCCTGGTCCGTCAGGTCCTGGCCCGTCAGGTCCTGGTCCGTCAGGTCCTAATCCTTCAGGTCCTGGTCCGTCAGGTCCTGGTCCGTCAGGTCCTGGCCCGTCAGGTCCTGGTCCGTCAGGTCCTAATCCGTCAGGTCCTGGTCCGTCAGGTCCTAATCCTTCAGGTCCTGGTCCGTCAGGTCCTGGTCCGTCAGGTCCTGGTCCGTCAGGTCCTGGTCCGTCAGGTCCTAATCCTTCAGGTCCTGGTCCGTCAGGTCCTGGTCCGTCAGGTCCTGGCCCGTCAGGTCCTGGTCCGTCAGGTCCTAATCCTTCAGGTCCTGGTCCGTCAGGTCCTGGCCCGTCAGGTCCTGGTCCGTCAGGTCCTAATCCTTCAGGTCCTGGTCCGTCAGGTCCTAGTCAATCAGGTCCTGATCTGTCAGGTCCTGGTCCGTCAGGTCCTGGTCCGTCAGGTCCTGATCCGTCAGGTCCTAATCCTTCAGGTCCTGGTCCGTCAGGTCCTAGTCAATCAGGTCCTGATCTGTCAGGTCCTGGTCCGTCAGGTCCTGATCTGTCAGGTCCTAATCCTTCAGGTCCTGGTCCGTCAGGTCCCAGTCAATCAGGTCCTGGTCTTTAGGGTCTCATCAGGTTTCGGTACATTTCTTTAAGTTGAAGAAAGAAATGTCACCAACAGTAAAAAAAACTAAAGATAAAAAAATCTTAAATCTTTTTAAAATTCTAAAACGACCATCTTCAACTTCAGCGCCCACGCCCCCTCTAGGGGCCACGCCCCCCCTAGCACCCACGCCCCCCCTAGCACCCACGCCCCCCCTAGCACCCACGCCCCCTCTAGGGGCCACGCCCCCTCTAGGGGCCACGCCCCCTCGTTGGGAACCTCTAGGTGAGGCTGATGTTGAAACAGTTGAAATCAGCCTAGAAAACGGTTCATCTCCTCCTGCTTGTGCTTTGAGCTCTCCTTGTTCTCCACTTCCTGTCCTGATGATGTCATTTCCTGTGCTCTCCTTCCAGCTGCCAGTTCAGCCGTCTGGTCGAGGAACGGAGGACAGGGAGCATCATCGCCAAACTATGAGGCTCCTCTGCATTCGCTGGTGAGCAGAAACACGGCAGGCCTTCCTCAGCGGTTAGATGTTCCTCAGCGGTTCTTTAGATCCAGTCAGAGGAACCTTCCAGAAGGACCGTCTCCATGTCCCTTCCCTCCATCCTGAGCTCTGCTGATTGGTCGATCAGGTCTTCTGTCCAGGGAGACGTCAGCAGAGCATCAGGAGCCAAACGACAGCTTCCTGTCTGTAGCCATCATGGCCGCTCTCTGTAACCTCAGGGTCTATGTCCTCTACTTCCTGTTTCAGCAAAGTCGCATTGAGGACCGCCTGGAGCGTCTGGACGATGCCATCCACGTGCTGCGGAGCCACGCCGTAGGGCCGTCCACGGGGATGACGGGCGGTCACGGCGACATGCACGGTCTGATCGGAGCCGCACACACGCACAACGGCGCCATGGGTGGACTGGCGAGCGGCTACGGGACGGGACTGCTGTCCAACAGACACTCACTGATGGTAGGCGCTGTATGATGATGTCACTGCTGGGTCAGAAGGACCGGTTCAGCTCCGGTTCCTCTGCTGATGGCATTTTATTAAGATAGTTTCATCTGATGTTTTTAACCAACATTTTATCAAACTGGTTTCCTATAATAAAACACGACTTCAGCTCCAGAGAAGCTAAATAAACATTATTTCAGTTCTTCTTTAGTTTCAGGTAGACATGAATTAATTTATCTGGTATGAAGTGAAACGTTTTGAGGCGCTGGAGCTCAGCAGTGAATATTTTCCACATTCAGGCCATAGAACAATAAACAGCTGCAGGCTGTGAGGAGACATGGAGGCAGGCTGGACAGCGGGCATGTCGGCACGCCTCAGGGCGCCGCTCCGCTTCAGCTTAGAGGGTTTGACCTTTTAGAGAAGTGCTGAAAGATTTAAGGAACTGCAGAACAAGTCCATCATCATCATCGTGTCATTGATGGCTGCACCAGAAACCAGACTGGTTTAAACTGGATTAATCTCAGGATGTGTCAGGGCGGCAGGGAGGCAGAGGTGAGTTTCTTGATGATTTAATGAACTGTTAACAGACAGCTGAGGCAGGAATCCAAAAATCAAATGTGAAAAAAAGGCAAACAAACCAGAAACCATGGAGACATCAGAGGAAAAACAATCACGACGAGGCAGACTCAGCGAGACGGAGATGGAGGAAGATAGACGAGGAACCAGCACTGAGGAACGGCACAGAGAGAGTATTTATGGGAGACTGAAACAAAGACAGGACTAACGAGCAGATTGGGAGCAGGTGTGAACAGAGCACACAGGAAAGGAAGCTAGGGAAAAAGGAGAACACAAGAGGGCAGCAGAGGGCAACAAATAAAAACCTGAAAACTGAAAAATAACCAGAAAACACGACAAAATAAGAATGAAACCACTAAAACTAGAAAACATGGAGCAAAGGAAAACTGAAAACTCAAAAGAAAACAGAACCAGAACTGTGACAGGATGCGAAGCAGAAAGCGGATCAGAGGATGGACAGTGAGGATATGATGACATCACTGTGATCGCAATATATCGATGATGATGATAATGATTGTAACCCACCCAGGTTTTCCTCACAGCTCTCTTATCCTCGTTTCTGGAACTATGGAACTGAAAAAGACCTGGATAATAAATCCATGAATCATTTTGGTCTGAACCGAACAGAACCGTCCAGCAGAGGCTGACCCAGGGTTTCCACAGGTCTTTAAAAGTCAACCAACGAGTCATTTTTAAATTAGATTAAGTATTAATTGGTATTAAAATTAATTAAATGTGAAGATTGTGTCATTTAAAATGCTTTATTTAAAAAAAAAATGTTAATAAAAAACATTTCAGTGAGATATAATATATCGCAATATATTTGCGAGGAACTGCTTCTATCATATGGAGGATAAAAAGTGCCAAAATTAAATAAATAAATACAGCATTAAATAAATAATTAAATGGGGAATTAAATAAATAAATGTGTCATTCATTAATTAAAACCACGTTGCTAATATAAAGTGCCAAAATTAAATCAATAAATACAGCGATAAACAATTAATTAAATGTGTAATTCATTAAATAAATAAGGAATTAAATATGTAAATGTGTCATTAATTTAATAAAATACATCATCATTTTATTAAAAAAAATATATATAATTAGTTCAGTGTGCATTTAATTATTTCATGGTCCTGTGTCGCAGTGCATCGAAACCATTCAAAGAATCTGTCAAACTCACTCATCAAAGTTAGGGGGCGGTTACCTAACACCTGATTGGTCACCCTGAACATTAAGGCGAAGCAAATCGATTACAGAGACTCAATTTGCGTTAACCCCGCCCCCTAACTTTGATGACCAAGGTTTTTGCCGTGTTTTATATATATATATATATATATATATATATATATATATATACTTTCAGAGCTCTGCAGTCCTCAGTTAAGGTCAGAGGTCATGATTGAATGAGACCGGGCAGAGGTCGAAGGTCAGAACCACTGCTGACCCAGAAGAACTCTGAGGTCTGTCAGACAGCCAGGCACGGTGGTGGTAGTATGATGGTGTGGGGCTGGATGAGCGGCTGGATCAGAGCCCTGAATGCTGGTAAAGAGTGAAGGTGACCCTGACCTGATGGCGAATCGGAGCGGAGGCGTCTGACGGGGAACACCTCACTGCTGAGGAGGTCGTGTATATTTTCAGCGTAAACAGGAAGTGTGGGAGGAGGACGGATGTTTAAAAAAAGTGACGCCATTGTGTTTTTTGTTTTCCCCTTTTCCTCTTGCTGGTGTTTTGATCTGGTTTTTAACTCTTTTCCTGCCTGCTGTTTTACAGGCTTTCACTTTTCCCTCCACACGTTTACATCTGATTCCTGTTTTGATCTTCCTTCTCCATCGGCTTTTAGATTTAGACAAACTTTTATTGTCGTTTTGTACACAGCGTAAACAAAAGGAAACTTTGTTTACTAACAGCTTTCATGACATTTCCATTCCATAACGTGATCAGATGTAAAACACTGGGAGAAAAAGGCATTGATATGGGAGTTCAGAGCGTTAGATTTTCACACACACACACGGCCGTCTGCAGTTTGGCAGCGTTCGGGCCGAGACGCTTGCAGGCTGAGATCATAACTCTGGGAAAACAGGTGGTGGGCCGATGTGGGGCTGCGTTCACAACTCTGAGTGCATCACAAACACAGAAGCAGATGCATGTGTCTGAACAATCAGCGGCGTTTCAGTTCGAGGTTCCTGCTGGACCCTGAGAGCTAAGAGGATGTGGTGACCTAACATGTTTGGATCCAGGTCTGTTTTCTGCTTCACTCGAGTCTTAAAATCTTCATGAAAACCCAGAGATCCAAACTAGAAAATGTAATTAACCCCTAAGATTTAGACAGAGTTCACCAACTTCCTGTTTCTCCTGTTTCTCAATTCACTAGAACACGAGTACGGACTCGTGTTTTCACCAAGTCTGTTCTTGACTAGAACCCAGGAAAGTCTGGACTCGGGGAGAACAGGAGCAGAATAAATCTGGGTCAAATGGAACTGAAGCGTACTGATGACATCACCACATTCAAAGCTAGTCTGGAGCCGCATTTCACCTCCTGTTATTAATAGTCTCTAGATTATAATAAATTATGACTTTTTTCATTTAGTGGAGGAATAATAATGAAAGTTTTAAATAAATATAACAATCAAACCTCCATCAGAGCCAGCGGTCCTTCACACGCAGCTACGCAGAGAGAGGGCCGCCGCAGATGGGCTAACGCTAGCCTTGGCCGCCGCAGATGGGCTAACGCTAGCCTTGGCCGCCGCAGACGGGCTAACGCTAGCCTTGGCCGCCGCAGATGGGCTAACGCTAGCCTTGGCCGCCGCAGACGGGCTAACGTTAGCCTTGGCCGCTGCAGACGGGTTAACGTTAGCCCTGGATGCGGTTAGCCTCTGAGCTCCGCTGGTTGCCACGGTCCTCTCAACATCAGAACTTTTTTTAAATTCCGCACTTAATCAGTAAATGTTCTATATAGTTAAGCTTAAAGTATATTTTTCTCGCCTCAGATTATCTTAAAACTTACTTTTATTGAACAACGCCAACAGAAAAGAGAACTTTTAACTTAATCCTCTGAGCTCTGTGAGCGCTAACCTGGAAGCTGCTGCTGCCGCAGTGCATGCTAGGTAAAGAGGGAGGGGCCAGAACGACATCCGGGGACAGTACGTTTTCTCGGCAGTCGTCTATAAGGAGGTCAGGATGTTTTAGCATCATAGCATCATCTGTTATAACCCAATGAGTCGTTGCTAATTGCAGAGTAGTTCTGCCATCCATAGCAGTTAGCATGCTACGTTAGCTTTACAGCACAGTAACTTTGCTAGAATAAACGGCTGATCTTCAGAGATTCAGCTGATGTTTTTAGGAAGAGTGGATTTCAAACGATGCTAAAACAAAATGCATGTTTCTGAGGCAGCAGATTTTTCTGGGTTTTTTAATCACTAACCAAATAATAGCAAAGATGAACCCACTTCATGGCGTGCAGTAGAATGTGTTTTTTATCAAGTGGGAAGCGTGTGACCGTTGGAGGCCATGGCGGCTTTAAACCAGGTCAGAATGGCTGTTTGGGCCTAAAGTCCTGCTGCTTGCTTTACTGTTTAAAAGGAAACTCTGAGAAAGGTTAAATGAAGGCTCTCTTTCCACTAAGCTGTGTCACAGTAACAGAGATGCCTCATAATCTGCATTAACCCCCCCTTTACTAAATGCATCCTATAAGCTGATAAAAGTTGGATTTACTCCAGTGTCTGTGGTTGGACTGGTGAACGATACACAGACATGTCAGGTTGGAACTAATCCCGGATGAGTAACATCTTATGGAAGCTTCCAGAGAGGGGGGGGGGGGGGGCTCTGAACGCTCCCGCGTTACGATGGGAGCGTCTGAACGTCCAACAGTTAAAGGAAACAGTCTGGGAGGTTTTCTGTTTTCCTCATGTTTTAATTTAGATTTCCGACTAAATTAGTTTGATTCTCAGAAGGATTTAATCCAGGAATATTTCATAGGGTGTCCATCTTGGTTTGTCACATCTTTGTGAGGCGTAGGGGGGGTCTGGGGGAAATGGAAAAGGTTGAAATTTAGACTCTGAAATGCTATTTCCTGCGGAAGCAGCCGCTTTAGACGCAAAAAGCTTCTGGTTGATCACAGCTAATATAGCAAAGCTGCTTTCTGGCATCGAACTCATGAGCAGCAGAAGCATCAGCTGGACTCACTTTACTGGACGGCTGACCTAAATGAGGATCAGTGCTAGCGGTCTGAACGTAGCATTATTCATTAAAGTAAACCAATCCATTAGCTGCCATTGTTCCAGGCAAAGACAGGATAGAGTAGCTCCGCCCACCGCGCATCAGAACCACTTTATCACCGCGCAGCTGGAGCAGCAGAGATGCTGCAGCCGCTTCAGAACTAAACTGGTACAATGGCAGAAAACTGTACAAGTTAATAAAGTGTTTCAGAGGAGTGATCA